GTTTTGCGGTTGCAAATTCTAGGAAAACAAACTTAAAACTTGTGAAATCCTTAAAGCGAAAAAAAAGAAGATTTGAAGAAATTGCGTGTCCCGGTGAAATCTCTGACAAATTGCAAAGGCTCAGAAAGCTTTCTAGCTAATTGGAATGGTCCCAAACAAAGTCATAATAAATTACTGTCGAAAGAAAATCTTATTACATAAGAAACGCTATTAGCCATTTAACGAGGTGCGAGAAATTGACGAAAGCTGTCGGAAAAAGTTCTCACTAAAGAATCTGCTTCGTTGAGAATATTTCAAAGCGTTTAACTGAAATCAGTAGCAGAATTACTTGACTTTTACGAAATATCTAATTTTGCAAGCTGTTAAAATCTTCTTATCTTGAAAAAACAATCTAACAAAATCCTTGACAGAGTCAGAACCGTCGACGAAAACAATCGAAGCTGTCTCGCGTTTTATCTGTTGGAAAATTATGTCAAAGCAGTTTGTTAGAGCATGACGCGTACCACGATGAAAGAAGTCAGCAATTTGGTATATTCTAGTGAACAGTTTTATGTTGGTATTAACTGACTCAATAGTTGTTGGAGTTCAAGCAAATCTTCCTCCAACGACGGAAGAAACTGCTCGATAAGGGCTTTTCTATTTTTTCTTAAATAAAAGCACGAATATCATCGTCTTCAAAGGAAAACCATAAAAAAAGAAAACTTGATTTATGGAATTGAATTGATTTAGGCGGTCTACGTATTGCTTGAAATTATTGGGATATTTATTTCTTCTCCAACTAATAAAAAAAAGCTTTTTGATGTCAGCTATCTACATCGAGATGATATTTTACAAAAAAAAAATTTTTCATGAAGAGTCCACTTCCAAATTTCTAAGCATTCCAACTCGAATTTTAAATCCAAGAAAACTTTCTATTTATCCTCCCATCAAACCAATGTTGTTACGCTTACGGCAGCAAGCAACTCGATTGACGAAAAGAAAAATGAAAGAAAGGAAAGCTAAAACTGTATATTTTTCATCGTTAAACAATCTGACTTTATCGCCCTCGAAAACATTTCCACATTAATGAATAAACACATCAAAAATTACGAGAGGGAAACCTAAAACTGTCTGATAATGTGAATGAATGAAGAGCTAAGATGAGATTGAGGAGGGTCAATGATGGAACAGTGGTACGCAGAGAATCTAGCATAGCAAGGAAATATTCGATAAGTTTACAAACATCTTTCGTTTTGCTTTTAAGAAAAAGCAGCAGTCAGAAGACTGACACTGGCGGTTTAGGGTGAGAAAAATGAAGAAAATCAGACAGCTTAAAAGGCCTTTGTGGGAATGTGGAGGGAATAAGAAAGCAAAAGCAAAATATGATGAACTGTTTTGTTGTGGTTTCATCTTACAGTTGATGAGAAATTTTCTTCGTCTTCGTCAACATTCCATTTTCAGTCAAGTGTGAAAACATCATGAGAAATCTTTTCCCATTATGATTTTGCTTGTGGGAAATCCTTTAGCGGTAATCTAGATTTTACTTGCTTCCGGTTTTCTGGCGGTTTGAAGAATTAATCAAAAAGTTAACATAAACCATGGATATCAACCGCACTGTTAGAAGAAACCTCAACCAACTGATCCTATTCAAATTTGTTTCCATCAAACTTGTTCATTTTCTTCAGGCTTTTTGATACCTCGTTTGCTTAATTTTCGGTATCGATGCATAATTTTCTTTTTTCTCATTCGTCCTTTTTATGATGACTTAAGTAAAAAGTGTCACAAAAGAGAAAAAAGGATGAAAAAGTTTATAGACAAATTTCCGCATTGTCTAAGGTTCTTTGGAAATATCAAACGATTGTTTGATGGTGTGTGCAGTTGTGACAATTTCCGAAAGGATTTCAAGCCTTTCTTTCTCTCAAGAAAATGTAAAATGTGAAAGAAAAAAAGATAAAAAGAAATCCTTTCAATCACATCAAAAAAGAAAAGGGAAAAATCAAATCAAAACCGGCATCTCATTCTTGTGAAAATTATGACGGATTATGCTTGTTATCTTCTTCGGCTCCCTTATCATTTTTTCCCTTTTTTTTCTAGGTCTGCATGATTTGTGTTTACTTTGCCGGAAAAAATTTGTTTCCCTCTGTTTTTTTTTTCGTTTTACGAATGGTTCCATTTAATCTCATACGCAAAAAAACAGTATGAGTCTGCGGTTGAAAAAGCTTGATTGGCTGTCTAGTAATTAAGAAATAAATTTAATTGGAATATGAAACAACTAAAGATTGAACAGCCTTTCGTCGTTGTTAATAATAAATGGGTTTGCTTAACTGCACATTTAGGACCTTTCATTGCCTCACTACATCGTTTACAAACGAGTTGAACAATGAAGCTTCTGAAGCACGTCAAATAAAGCGATAAAAATGCTGAATAACTGTCGGCATTCGTAAAAGAAAGCGAGAAAAAATTTCGCCTTTATTATTTATATCGCGTTTAATTTGTTACGATGACGATCGAGGGCGAGAAAAATGACCATAAAAGTATATTTCATTCAATAAATGTTCAATTTTTGTCCTCAGCTTACTCGATTTTCATCATGTGAACAATGCGTTATTCAACCAACTCATCGCTTTGAAGAGAAATTTTCTTTTAAATGGAGGACACAGCAGATTCTTTCTTTCCAACATATTTTTATGACAACCAGCGGAACATTTATGACTTTTTATGCGATTCCCAGACGGCTTGGATCGACTCGCAGTAACGTAACAGAAACAACATAATTTTCTCCGATTTTTATGATGAACAGCTGCCATACTAGGCTAGACTTTCATTCCCTAAAATTTTCATATCCCCAGTGAACTTTATTGTTCTTTCTTTCTTTATCTTTCGACTTTTCCATTACATCAAGAATTATCATTAATTTTCCATCATATCGTTTTATGTTAAGTGAAACAAATCAATTATGTGTTATAATGTCGTAACAATATTTCATCGTGACATTTTTCGTTGGAAGCGAAAAAAGAAAAAGGTCGTAATTTATCGAAATCGAAAGTTATGTGACAGGAACGTTGATCTCTATGACATGTCCTATGTTGGAAGATATTGTAAAAGATATTTTATTATGAAGCGAAAAATCAATTTTGATATTGAAGATTCTTCAAACATTTCAGATTTTGTTTCGCATCCTTTCGTTTTATATTGTTTTGGCAAATTAAATCGAAAAGCGACATCGTTTGCCATTGAGGCGAAGAAGTGACAATCCGAAGCTCCTTTCAACAATTTTCACCCTTTCTTCTTACCAGTTTTCAAAACAATCTTTCACCAATAAAAATCAAAATGTAATTTAAAATTATATATGAAGAAAAAATTAATGTGAATATTTTGAAATTTGGCTTTTTAGCCCATGGCAGTCTTAAGCGACTATATTCTTATTTATAACTTTATTCAATTTCTCGGTTTAATTAATTTGTAATTGTTAAATAATTATCTGAGTTTTCAACTGAGATTATTCAAATGTATTGAATACCAGTGAATCAAAGCTTCAAGCTGTCTAAGTAAGAAAGAAAAATTGAAAGAAAGTTATATCTGTTTTAACAGTGAATTAATCATAAATAAAATCACTTTTATAATTTCTGATTAATTAAAAAAGTTTGTCGTCCGGAAGCCGCTGTCGTCTTCATTTTCCTCCCTTAAATTCGTCGTTTAACGATGTCTAATTGAGCAAATGAAAATAGCTTGCTGGATAAGCATAAGCGTTGTAAATAATTTTTTTTATTTCTAACTAGAAGCAAAGTTTATATTGCTTAGATTTTATTCAACATTATAAAGTTTCCAATTTATTTCGAAACATCGTGACGCTTTTATCTGACTCTAGAAAAGGCCTTCACAGTCAAGTTCATATTGAGAACTTAAATTTTCTCCTAAGATTTTTCTTTGACAATTAAGTCGCCAATTTATTTTTTTTCTTCTTATTAGCTCGCCTCGCTTCAAAACACATTTAAATTTATAAAACTCACATAAAGTTTGTGCCTCCAAGAATGCTGAGTAATGAAACTTTTCCATTTCATTTAATTATTAATTTATTTTCTTTTTTTCGTCTTTTCTCAAATTTTTCTTGTTTTACTTTTTAATTTATTTAGAAAAGTTTAATTGGTTTTCTTCTCGATCGTTCGTGCCTTGTTGAAATCAACAGCTGATGCAACATTAACTAGTTCCGAAAATTTAACTTTAAACGTCACTGACTTCAAATCTTCACCCTTTCTATGTTTGCTTTTGAAATGAAATATAAACATGTAGATACTTATGACTTGGAAGCACAGACAACATTTCGTTTATCTACGCCTCATCGTTAGATTCAAGATGATTTTCGTCGAATAAATGTCGAATAAAGCCTTAAAAATGTTCACAAACATAAATTCAAAACATAGAAAAGGAATTGTGAACTTTAAAATTCCCCAATGTAATTCCCAACAGCCTTCCTAGCCCGTTGGTTCACATCTTCCAGTAATTGTCGAATGTTTTAATTAAAACTGAAAGCGGAATAGAAGGAAATTTTTAATTTAAAATAATTTTGTCCTCGGATGAGAGTGTGCAAATTTCATAATTGGATCGATATTTTAAATAGCTATGCCTTAGGAATGAAAAGATATTTAGCAGAAGTTGATGGAGATGGGTGGGGGAGTTTAAATTGTTACTATTTCAAAGATTTAACATAATATGAAGAGAGGTGGAAATGAAGTACTTAAAGCGGTTTGTGAAATTTCTATAAAGACGTAAATCTCAGCTGTTCCAATCTCAAATAAATGTCTTGCAAAATATTTTATCTACCAGAAATTTCCCAAATTCTTAACCTTTAATCACCTGGATAGAAGTCATCTCCGATGTGAAACAGCTACCAAAAGAGGGTAAAATAATTGATTGAGTTTCATTAATTCAATTCTTTTAACCTCTCCTTTGATTGAACCTTTTTTTTTATTTAAGGGAAAGGGACCGTCATCCTATCATCATCTACTGTGTAGCAACGGTTCTAACAACTCAATTGTCAATGGAAAGGCAAGTTAGCCTTGGCCTGTGACAAAAATCTTCCCTCTTCCCTCCTTCAATCTTTACTTACTTAATAAGTTACAGAGTGGGAAAAGGTCTGATGTGAATGCTTCAAGATTTGAAAGCTTTGAAACAAATGAAATTTTGTAAACATGCAGTAAAAGTTTTCCAAGGCCAGTGAATGTCAAAAGGTTTTTACTTTTAATTGCTTTTTAAATGAAATTGCTTTCTTCCTTTTCTTTTTGTTTTTTTTTCTGCTGCAAGGACGCAAAAATGCCCAAAGAATTGATGAACAACTAAAGACTAAAGAATTCATTAATGGCGTTTCTCTCCCCTAGCTTCTTGTTCGAGTGAATAAATTACAAAAGTTCTGAGATAACTTCATTAAATCGTAAATTAAATATCTAAAGCGATGGAATTTCTAACTTCCAGTTTTCGTTCTGTCTTTTAGTTGAAATAATTTTAATTTCTGGGGTGTCCAGTTTACTTGGAAACTCAATCGAACCCCCAGATTTCTCAGAATCTCGTTCAGTTAAAGTAATTTCCCGATTTAGACATGTTAAACTTGTGTATTGATTTTCTTAAAGCTCTGCAAACTAAATATGAAGAGTAAGATTTTCCTTTAATTGAATTTTCTTATTAATACAGGTTTTCAGATTGATGTTTGATGCTTTGATGTCAACAACTTTAACTTCAGACTTGCTTGAAAAGATTTTAAAAGTTTGTCTAATAAATTTAACTCTGATTGTAAGGCAATGTTTATAGTTTAAACTTCACTTATATCAATCTCAACGTGTCTACTCTATTTTAAAGAATGTTTTAAATAACAGAGCTATTTCAATCGATACTTCATGCTATTTATTTCAATTACATGCCAATTATTCAATGTTCAAGGGCCAGTATTGTTGTAAATAGCACTCCAAATACAAAAGGTATCCATCCATGTGTAGTATTCTCCATTTCTCACTCACATTAATGATATGTGTACAGTTTTGCCGATTCCAATGACAGGAAAATTGAAACGAATTGGATTTTCCCATTTTTTTTCCGTCGATTTTTATTGAAATGAAAGCACACCAAATCGGTGGAAAATCAAATTTATTCATACATCACTTCAATCTCTCTATCCCCACATAACTGCTTGTGTCTGTTTGTTCTTACAATCCACTTTATTTCCTGTTCTTAAAGAGGTAACATGACAGACTTTATAAGTTTCTCCAGACATAAATTTTTATGTACAAGAGAACATAAACATACATAACGATTATATCATTAAATAAGAGAAATCAATTTTTATTAAACTTTTTTTACTCTCGCCTACCATCAACAAATCTTCTTCTGTTTTTTTTTTCTTGTTGGTCACCAACAAAACGCCAATTTGCAATTTGTCATCTTCCTTTTACGGATTGACTTTTTCTCCTCGTAATCATTTATCAAACTGGAAAATGTCTCCATACACATAAATCTAAAATCTGAGATTGTAAGTCAATGGATGAAGCCGAATCGGTTTATATAAAAAAAGGAGATTTATAAAAAATTCAAACCCTTATCGGGATAACATGAACAAGATGAAGGGGAGATTTGTTCACAGTTTCCACTTAGCATAGTAAGCATTCCTTAAACAATGTTCCACTTGAAGTTTTAAACGATAGCTTTTAACCTCGTAACCTTTCTTTAAATTAATTTTTTTTAAATCATAAATACATTGGTTTCGTGTCAGAAAAAAATTATACAAATACCTAATCAACAATTAGATTAATAGTTTTCTTAAGGCTATTAGGAAATAGGCGTCAATATATTACGAGAAGAAATAAAACGTTTCCTTGAACTGTTCAATTTTTATTGTAAATTTATTTTAATGTATCGTAATTTTCTTGCTTCGACCATAGTACATAAATATACATATCTACATATCTTAAGCAAAATGAAAAAATATTTTATTTAATTTGATTGATAGCCAATAATGTAAATTATATTTTAATGTAAAAGCAACCCCAAATCAATCTTTTTGATATTTTATGAATCTTTAGAAATTCTTGAACGGAATTTTCGATTGATTTATTAATTTCTTTAATAAAAAGATTTATTTAAATGCTCTTCTCATCGTTTCAATTTGAATAAGGAATATTTTTCATCATGAATATGATCATTGAAACAGAAATAGAATTGAACATTTTACTTCCAAAATTTATTTAAGTTCTCAGTTCAGAGTTCATAAAATGGTGGAATGGATAAAGAAATTCAATTCTTCAAAAAAAAAATTTCAGGTTCAATGAAATGTTTCATAAGTTCAGCAGTACTTTCAAAGCTAGTAAATATAATTAAAAAATTGTTACTTTTCAAAAAAACAAAATATTTCTTTAATACATTTTCATTTGTTAATAAGCTTTTCACAATAAAGTTCTGAGGTTTTTGATATGCAGCATAGTTAACTATCTAAGTAACTGTAATCCATTTTCATAACTACATTAATGAATTATTTTTCAACTTCACCAGCATAAATTAAAGTATTTGATGGTTCTTTATATAAGTATTTCGGTGTTGATTTAACGTTAACAATCGTTGTACTTCTACGAATAGGTGCACTCCATGTAGGAAAAGTTTGCGTGTAAATGCGTGTGGTTGATGGCCATGTCGCCGGTGGGTATGATCGTTCAGTAACTGTTGACCTTCGGACAGTTGAAATTCGAGAAAGTGGAAGATATGAGGGACCAGGCGTTGACAAGCGTGTTCGTGTTGGAGTAAATGGTCGACTCGTAGTTGTTGATTTTGAAACTGTGGTAATGCGAGCTGATGGTTTTGTAACAAATGGCTTTGTTACTTGTTTAGTTGTGGATCTGCTAGTTGTGGAGAAAATTTTTGTTGTCTTCGGTGTTTCAAATTCATCTTTCTTTGATACTGACACCGGTGGCAAATACGTTGGCCCAGTTGTTGACTGCTTTTTGAAAATGAATGATTTTGTTACTTTCTTTGTTGTGGATATGAATCTTGTCGTTCTCGGCGTAATAACTTCATCCTTCTTTGACACTGAGGGCACATATGGAGTCACAGTTGTGGATACTTTTTTTATAACAAACGGTTTTTGTGTGGTAGTGAATACTGGCTTTATTTTTTCCTTACATTTTACATCACAATTCACTTCGCATTGTGTATTTCCACCGTCATTAAAGAAAGAAAACTTTGAACTTTCGCCTGTAACTAACTTTTGAAATCCATTTACATCTCGGAAATTGATTTTCTTCACTACTTTTCCTAGTGCTTCGGAATCGGCAAAGATTTTATTCAGCGTAATTGAATCAAGTTGAATGGAAATTAAGTTATTGGTGGGTAATGTTGAGGGTGGGAAGTCGAATGAATAAAGTAGCAAGGCACGAGCTTTTTCTATAAATAGGATGAGAAATGGATAAAGTTTTTCTCATTTTTCTTCTTCTTTTCTTTTTCTTTGCCGTTATGTTACAGGCATTACAGCTACTCACATGATGATACCATCATTCAAAGTTGTGATTGAAAAGAAGAAAAAAGAATAAAAGGATGCATAAATAAATTAGGTCACGAAAGAAATATGATGGGTTTTTGAAGAATTGGTATTTGATTGTCAAGATTCAATTCACGATTGACCTAATGTACGAATTCAATCCTTTTGTTCTTTTTTTTCGAAAATTGTTTTATAATAAACAGAAAATTCATCAGAATATAAAACAGAAAATTACTTACCCTGAGCTTGAACACTACTCGGACTCGCACAAATGACACAATAAATCATCAAGCAATCCGTAATCCATCGCACAGTTCTCGCTTTCATCTCTACTAACATTAAAAATGAATTAACAGAAGGCACGAAATGATGTTCACAGTCGGACACATAACTATCGATTAATCTTTTGGAATCATCTGTGCTACATCTTTATAGCGATCAAGCTTCAAGGATGTAAATATAGAAAAATTTCTGATGCACGCAAATCATCATCGTGACTAAAGTTTGTAACCCGGAGTAGTAAAATAATAAAAAATATCGAAATGGATAAAAACTTTGTTGCCATGACCTTCCGTTCATTATTATTTTTTTTCCAGCACGAAGCATTACTAACAAGTAACAACAAATTGAATAGAAAGATTTATGTTATCTCACTCTTTTTTGTTTTGTGCGTTACTTCTTTAGCTTTAGTTTTAGTGATCAATAACCTGCGATGGTATAATTGTTTTTTTTTCTGCTTTGAACTTACATGTGAGTTAACTGTTTTCGTTACAATAGTTAATATTCGTTGATTTAATGAACCTGTTCTTTTTTATATGATATAAATGTTTTATCATCATGAGCAAAGCTCTTTTATGGCGATTTGAATACAGCAGAATTATTTTTATTGACTTAAATGCTTTTTTCACTGACCAATTTTTGATTGATTCTTTGTTTTTAATATGGATTTTTGTAGGGGTTCCGAAAGCGGATCTCCAATTTCTTTGTAAACTTTTAAACGATCAAAAAAAATTAACACATAAATATAGGTAGGGTAAACAAGGTATTGTGAACACAATGTTTTTTGTAAGGTATTGTGAACACACCTAATTTCGAATGCGATTTTCTTCGCTATTTTGCATTCAAACGGATCAAAACTTTGTATAGAAGTAGTTTGAAC